CACGGCAGAGGGGTACCTCGGTGCCATTTTATGTGGTGATTTGAGGCAGTAGAGGATGTCAGGCTCTACATGCCTGAGGTGTGCCCAGCCAACCTACCCAGGAAGTCTGATAACAAGGATGAAAGGAACCTTTGAAACTGGGAGGAGGGCAACCACACCTGCCCTGGTCCCTGCTGGATGGATTGGTTTTGAAGCAGGAACTCACTGAAATAAAATCTCAGTTCCTGAAGCAACCCCAAACCCAAATTTTACTTCTTTGCCTAATGGATGGAAGGAAGGATAAACAAAGGATGGGAAGAAAAATGGAAGGAGGGAGTTACTCTGAAGTTACTGCATACATTCATAGGACCAGAAACGGGCCTTTCCAAATAGGGCGACTAGAAGCCACTGTTGAGAGCAGGGCTGGACTGCAGTATTGCCAGTTCTGTGTGGTCATGAATCAGGTTTCAGAAAATCACGAGGCTGGCTTAAAATCAGAGGGTATCTCAGAAAATATGTATTTGGAGTTCTTTGGGTTTACTTTTTTTGTGTCAGCCTTTATAGCATATTCTGCTTCACATTTTTATGATTATCTTCAAACATAAGGGAAAGAAACTTAGAGAAGCAGAGCTTCTCAATCAATTAGTTTCCTGATGCTGACAACTGGGACTTTCAGAAAAGCTTCCAAATACCATCAAAGAAGCTGTGAGAGTTGGCAGCTAATATTGATACAGTGATCCTCTCCACTCCCTTTAGCTGATTTCCATGGGGGAGGCTTTGGGCCCCATGCTCTTTCTCTTATTGACTGTGATTTATCTGTTGCCTGTCAGGTAAGGCAGAGGTGGCTATTCAAACACTCCTTCCTTCTTAGGATTTTTCCCCTGAAGCCGCATAGATATTGTGGTGGGGAACTTTTCTCTTTGCGCAAAAGAAACTAAACAAAGATATGAGTTAGCGTTCTTCTGTCACTGTAATCAAAGCAAGTACTCCCTACCATCTACAAAACAGAGGGAAAAAAACAGCTACTGGTCTGCTACCAATTTCCAGACCCGCAATCTTGTTAGTCTCCTCAGCTTGGCAAGACAATCACCAGACATTTAAAGCATTATGGTGAAAAAGCAGCTCCCAAGAGCTAACCCTTCTGCATGCCTGTAGTCCTTGCCATTTACTTACACTATGCTTTCGCTTTCTTAAGACTGTATATGATTATGCATTCTGTCATGTCTTAGTCTATTGGCTAGCCAATCAATCATCAAAATCTATGTCAGGTTTAGGTCAGCAGCATTACCATGATTGCATTATTATTACAACTTAGCCTTGCAGGTAGCTGAGCAAAATGCCAGATACTAAAATAAACTTTGGGCAGTCTCCACCTTACAGCCTAATAAACTATCATATTTTTATGCTGTATTCCCCAGTCAATGCAAAACCACTATAGACTCCTCTGGGTAAAAGTCTAGCTCCTCCATAGATCATCATATGCATAATTCAATCATTTATATAAAATAGCAAAGCCCCTAATTAGCAAAGCCTCCCAGGGGCTTTGTTTCTCACTACTTGCATTAATGCATTATTAGAAGCCTTAATATTGTCAACATTCCTCTAAGATTTTGAGGGCAAAATTAATTTGGGGAACTCCTTGCCATAATAAATTATTAAAGCAGTCTGAACGGTAAGATTAAAAAAAAAAAAAAAGTATTAGATTTCTAAAAATGAGAATTGCCCTGCATCCATCTTTGTGCTGTGTAGGAAGAAATGAAACAGGTATTTACCCCTCTGCCTTTTTTATTTGCTGAACCAAGCAGAACTCAGGTTGAAATATTTTAATGATTCAGTATTAATCACCTTACAAAGAACCATGTGAATATGGAAGAAGCTAAGAGATAGGATGAAATGGCAGAAGAGTTAATAGTGGAGTAAGAAACAGCTCCTGTGTTGTGTACTACATATATTAATGATCTGGTAAGGGGACTGAGTTATGATAAAACAAAAATTGCAGAGAGTATCATTATGTAGTTTACTCAGAAGCCAAGACAACTGTGAACCTTTAGCTTTGAAGGACAATGGAGAGCACTATTACCTATGAAACATTGAAAAATGCAAGGAAATATGTTACTGCAAGGAAAAATGTCATTCACATTTGGGATTCTAAGTTAGCACTCTTAGTACAAGGAAAAGACTTACATGTCACAGGAAACAGCTATATTAAGTGTCCTCTTCAAGGTTCAGCTACCATCAAAATTCTAGATAGTAGGAAGTATTAGATATATACAATGTATTATAAATGTGCGTATTACATATATGTATATACAATGTTATATACACAATGAAAAAATATGAGGAGTATTATACTGTTACCAATAAACAAGTGGATTAGTGGGACTTGCAGAGATACCTCCATGAAGAGTGCTATCAAAGTTTGGGCTTGTGGTTTTATCCTGAGATGAGAGTAGAATAAGGAGAAATGTGGTAAGTGTTGATGAAAGAAGAAAACAGATTGAAAGATTTGGCTCTTCCTGTCCCTAACCCAAGAAGAAGAGGATATTCACTGGAATAAAAAGGCAGAAAACCCGAAACAAATAACAGAAATATATTTTAACAAAATATGAAATTAGTCCCTCATGACCATTGCCACATGCAGGTGCTGTAGCTGAGAACTAACAAAGTATAAATGGGATAAGCTGTTTATATTATAATTAGGGTTTATAATTATTAATTCCAAGACTTGCTAGAGTTTTGGAAAAATATTTTTTTCTGCTTTGGAGACTTACAGCAGTCTTTAAACATTAAAGAACTGGGTGAAACTTATGTGGAGATACAACTGACCTGTTCCTTTGGAACTCCGGAAGATATTTGCCCTTTTTGCTGAAGCATCTGGGTTTTGCCCCCAGACTGAGTGGGTTTTGGGTCTAGTCCTGAAGACCAGTTTCCATGTACCTGTCAAAGTTCCTAAGACTGTCTAAAGGGTCATTCATTGACTCTGGTCTTTCACAGTAGCAACAGGCCTGGATCTTAAGTATGGATCTTAAGGCAGTTAATCTGGCTATGGAGGAGAAGCAGGTGACAGAAACCATTGGACCATTCTTCTCTTAAGTTCCTGTAGTGGTAGGTGCAGAATCCTTTAAGCACACCTCATATAAATAACCAAAATTTGCTGAAAGCAATCTGGGAGTAAGAAAGTAGTATCACCAAGTCACTCTGAGAACCTCGCAGCATACCTAGCCTAGCCTGGTTCAGGAATAAAGCCATCAGTCCCCAGTGCATTAATGTCATTTCTTTCTGGCAAACTGCTCACAGAAGTGCCCCCACCCCCGGCCCCAGCTGCCACAGGTGCCCCTCCCTTACCCATGCTGATATTTTGACATGAAGTCTGTAGGCCAGGGAGAGCTGGCTACCCTTGGCTTATATAAACAAATAGCTCATTGGGGAACTATCCAGTTGATGCAGATAGCTTTTAAATGGGATTACTTCACATGAAGTTTCAAAATTCCTTATAAATCCCTTATGGAGCTGTATATTTTGTATTTTGAGGGGAGAGGGGCAGCTTGTCTGTATGGTTTGTGAGGGGAGGTCATGTGTGCGGAGAAGCAAATTCAAGATTGCAAAGACATTTCAGATTTTTTGTAACTCACTACCTGCCAAGTGCTGGCAACTGTGAAATGAAATTAAAATGATCCATGAATTTAATCTTTACTGAGGAAAACTTGTCATGTCTTTCTGGGGACATTGAATGCTCCTAGAATAGCACCACTGACACTAGAAGTGCTACAGCTCTCGGCTTCTTCCTTTGGCAATGCTTGTCCATGGACTAAAATGTAGAGGGCTACTGCAGTTTGAACCACAATGTGAACTCATATGATTACTGTCAAAGAAGAATAAAGTTACAGGTTGCTGGAAGGAAAATGGGATGGAAAGCACTTGAGATGAAGACCTTCTAAAGGGCAGATTAATGGGGGGCGGGAGGCTGCAGTCAGTAGTTACAGTGACTAAAGGTGAAGGAGATCACTAGTTTCAGGGGTAGTTGCTCTCAAAATTCAAAATATGGGGCACATTTTTACCTCTGTAATGTACCAGAAACTAAGAGGGTGAATTCTCCACAATTGCATTTGAGACCAATGTTGCTTATCAGACAAAAAAACCCTTACGTGGATTAGTAGGTAGGACTGTACCTATCACCACAGTAGCTGTCAAGTGGGCTACACAGATAACGACCCAACGATTCTTTGTTTTGGGAGGCAATTCCATTCTCCTATGCATACGTATTTGTGAAATTTGGAACAGATGTTTTACAGTGTTCAATACCTTTTAACAGAGGAAGAGACAAGTATACGAATCAAACCTGATAAACAATGGCTTGCAGCTTGAAGCAACGAGATCGGTGAGTGCTCTTCTCTGTGTGAACGGCTATGTCTGAGAGCAAAGCTGCCCCTGTGGGAATAAGGAAATTGGATATATGAATTTACTGTAACTTTTCTCTCCTCTCAGGAGAAAAAGGCTCACCTTTTTTCCGTCAATAGCATCTCTGTGATCTGATATGAAATCTTTTAAACTTTGTGCCTTCCTCTGCAAGAGAAGCTGGGAGATTACATAGGTCATGTGTGCTCAGTGCTTGGAAGATAAAAATTACTGCTGCACTCTGAGGAGAGGTTCTCCCGATTCAGGCTGTGTAGGACATGTGGGAAGCCAGTGGGTGTCCGAGGCAGAATTCCCCTGCCAGGAGAGCAGCCCAGGGCTCCTGCACATGACCCTGCTCCTCGCAGGGCCTGGCACAGCGCAAAGAAGTTGTAACTTTCATGCTTTGTATATTTTGGGCTGCAAAGTCGCCTGCGGGCAGTTCACGAGCGCTGTGATAATGCACACCAGATGCCGGAGCTGCTGTCTCTTGCAGGGAGGGTTACAGCCCCTCAGAGCCCCTTTCCTTCCTGCCCTGAAGGGCTGGAGCGCTCCGTCTGGGTCTCTCCATCCAGGACAATCACTTCCAGTCTAAAATTACTGTCATTTGGTACTATAGTGGGCTCCAGAAAAGGTAATTTTGCTCCTTCCTCCCAAATTAGGCTTAGAATCCATGGCATCATGGTATTTATTTGATTTCTGCAGTAAGAGCTGCTGCTGCACATCTAGGGATGCAGTCCGGCTCTTCACATTCATACGAAAGTAAACTGCTTGCTGGAAGTCTGACACAGGCCTGTTGCTGTACTTACATTCTGCAGTTTTCAATAATTCTGCTGCGATCATGACTGAAAAACTTTTGCAACTGGAAGTTTCTCCAGGCTAAATCAGATATCTAACTGATGTTCCTGAGCCAAGGAGCTGCATAACGTAATTTCGTGTGGCAGAGACTCACTAATGCAGGGTGTCAATAGAAGGCCTACAGGCGATGTGTAGACAAGAGACAAGAGCGGCTGTCAGGGTTTTACCGCTGCATACTGGTGCTAGTCTGGGCGTGCAACTGGGAGCAAATGTGCCCTGTGCTGTCTTTCTCAGTAGGCTCAACTGATTCTCCTTTCCCTCTCCCCATTCTCCGTATGAAGCTGGGAATTCATGTTGCCCAGGAGCACCCATGGGTGCCTAGCCTCCTTCCATCAAGTCACATCACCCTGGAGCTGTACTTGAACTGCTGGGAGTCAGCTCCAAAGCCACAGCTGCCCTGCCAGGCTACAAGTACAAACACTCCTAATTAACCTGTACGAGGGAAGCTTTGTTAAACTTAAATTGCTTTGTAAAATACCTTGCAGAGATGTAAACATTAAGCATTAAAGAAACATTTAACTGTCTTTTTTTATATGCCTTTATATGCCTGAGTGTTTCCACCTCATGTCAGTGCTTTTACAATGCCAATGATACGTTTGCTGAGATGGACAAAGAATGCAACTTTGAATAGGTCATCTATGAGCTGTAAAGAAGAAGAAAATTCTGGGTAGTTTAAGAGGTGTTATGAAAAATCCTTTGCTTTGATGTTCTCACACACATATTTTTAATATTCTTTCATTTTAGGTTTTGGATGAAAAACTTATTTTTGTGAAAGTGCATGCACCTTGGGAAGTGCTATGCACGTACGCCGAGGTTATGCACATCAAATTGCCTTTGCAACCCGATGACCTGAAAACTCGAGACTCAGCTTTCAACTGGTTTAGCAGACTCTTTAGAGTGGATGAAAATATCATCAAACCTGAGCAGGAGTTTTTCACTGCCCCTTTTCAAAAGGAACATTTGTCCAACTTTTATATTCCAGACAAAGACACATTTTTTAATCCTGCAACTAGAAGCCGAATTGTAAGTCCACAGACTATTTCTAGCATTTAATCTTAAAAAGAAAAGATTCCTGTAATCAAATCAGTACAATTGCCTTCATGAAAGCATCCTGAAAAATTAGAAATATTTGGGATGCAATAGTCCTGTGTCATTTATGAAACAGCCTGGACAATCCAGAAGGAAAACATTCCTTACATCTGTTCCATTTCTGTTCCACCTGAATTTAAAGGGGGGATTTGAATGGTTTGTATACCCTGTGCAATTAATTTTGTTTGCGCTGCTTACCCTTTCCTAACTCGATTATATGCTGCAACAGGTATAGCTGTGTATGATTACTTTCAGGTTGCAAGAGACACAAAAATATTTTATAATTTTCAGGTTCATTTTATCCTGTCCCGTGTGGAATATGCAACCAAAAACAATGTGAAAAAGTTTGGCATTAACAAATTACTGGACACTGGAATCTACAAAGCAGCTTTTCCCCTTCATGATGTAAGTCCAGCACTTGTAACTAAAATATATTTCAAAATAGAGGTCTGAGCTATATCTGGGGGGTTTATATCAAAAGATACAAGCACTGTTAGTTGCCTTACTCCTTGACTGGTTATTATATCCACATGGTAGAATAGGACATAGTTTGGCTAAAGAGATTTTCTTCCAAAGCACTGTTGGTTAAAAATGTAGCTCCATAACTGGAAAAAAATATATTTAATTTAGGAGGTGTTAACCTTGTATTGTCTGGGAGATGTAGTTCAGTGAAGTGCCTGGCCTGAGTGATAGTTCCCATGACACATTGTATCATCAGTTCTAAATCAATTTTAATATTGTCCATTTTTTAGTATTCAATTTTTCCGTATTAAAATTCATATCAAATATTAACATTTTTAATAAAGATGTTGAATACAAATCTCATCTCAGGATGCGAGACAGTCTCACACAGTGAGAAACATTCCCACAGTTCCCAAACATTGCAACATATGTGCAGGGAAACTCATGTTTCTGCAGAAAGGCTCTGTCCAGCCAGTCCCTCACAGGGCATGTCAGAGTCATGTGGAGAAAAGCTTAACTGTGCTGAATTTCATCTTGAAATAATAAGAAATCCAGCTTTTGTGTCAACACTTCTGAAGTTTTTTGAAGTATATCATTTAAAGAAACAAGTTATACTGAAAATCGTTTTGCATACAAAGGCTAGCAATAGCACAGAAGAAGAAAATGAAGGAGAAAAAAAATCAGACTTCAGAGTATTTGACTAAGGAAAAACCCCATTGGAGGCTGCAGATGGGGTGCAGTAAGCAAAGACTAAGGGCTGACTTTCTGCATTATATGTTATATCCCTACACCCCCACATCATCTCCCCATTGGAGTCACCGTTCCGTGTCTGAGGTATGTTCTGTTGAGAAGACATTGAGAACATGGGAGGTCAAGAACGGTAACTACTTCAGCTGTTTGGACTCTGCTTAAAATATTCAGGAGGCCTCCAAGGATTTCAAAGAAATCTTTAAGGCAGAATCAAGACAAATCATGTTTCTTGTAAGTAACCCAAAGCTTTACAGGATAGAATTAATATCATTCATGACTATCCATTTTTAAGGTTTCCTTTTAAAGATTTAAAACCTGCCTTGCAGGCTATTTCTATCATGGCATGGGGAATTTGGACTCAGTATGCCTAGTAATTAATGACTGTCTTTTTATACAATTAAAATTATATATCACAGCTACTCTGAAAATCAAAAGTAGCCTATAGTTTTCTACAAATGTCACTTGTCTTCTTGCATCACGCATATAGAATGGAAAATTCCCTCAAATAAGATAGGCTTTATTGAAATAGGTTTTCAAATAACCTAGTAAAAACACAAGGATTATCTCCATGTGAACTCTCTTTTAAATTTAAAACAGAGACCAGAAGCCCTGGATTTATCCCTCAGACTTTCCAGCCTTCATTCCAGTGCAATATTATTTTGAAGCAAAGCGTGTTAGCATCTTAGAGCCACTTAAAATCCATTTTAATTCAGTCCTGTTCTCTAATTAGAATGGATCCTTTTCTGTTTTCTATTCCTAAGTGCCAAGCCGCTGACATGTGCTTACATTTAACTTCATGATGAGTCTGTGTTATTTTCAGCTCACATATGTAAAGTGTTTGCTTCAGCATTCGGTGCCTTTCTGAACACCTTCTATCGTGAATCCTGGTGCACTCCTAGAGCTGCCTTCCTGCTCCATTTCCTGGCTTGAAGTGAGACAGGGCAAAAAGGCTATTCCAGGCTCTGGCTTCATGGCATGTGGTCTGCAGAGGCAAGAGCTGATCCGTGCTGGTAAGATTAATGGTATCTTCTCATGCTCTTTCTGGTTTGCAGTCTAGTTTTAGGCACCCGTCAACCGATCCTGACTGCCCAAGTGAACGGTATCTTCTCTACAGAGAATGGGCTCATCCTAAAAATATTTTCAAACTGCAACCCCTGGATTTCATCAGGTTGGTGTGACTGGGGCTGGACTAATGCAGACAGAACTGGGAATTTACATAACAGTTCTGGTTTTGGGGATGTCAAAGAGGCATAGCTCAGTGCTGAGTACATATGCCTGTATCAGCTTAGGCATGGGAGCATTTTTTGAGCACAGTTTCATAATAAACCAATTAATGAAAAGGCAACTGCTTGAATTTTTTCTTTGCAAGGTATGATCTTTCTCTCTTTTTCTTTTTTTTCTTCTGCTTCCTATCCTCTTATAAAAGCATAAAAGGGGTGATAGAAATACCCAGCTCTAATACTTCTGCAATCCCAAAGTTCAAACCAGAGGAATATGACAATGCGAGTTGGCACAAAATGTCTGAAATGACGAGCCATTTGAAACAGAAATGTGAATCTACTTGCATTTCAGGAAAAAAACTTTCCCCTCCACAGGAAATACTATGGAGAGAAAATTGGAATCTACTTTGCTTGGCTGGGCTTTTACACTAATATGCTGATTGTGGCTGCAGTTGTAGGAGTTGCCTGTTTTCTGTATGGATGCCTGACAAAGGACAACTGCACATGGAGGTACCTGATCAGGCCTATTTTAATATTACATGCAATTTTGATCAGTCCCCTACAGAGGGGGACCTTATAGGGTTTGCAAGACACTGCATAATAAAAGAGGCAAAATGAAAGTATTTGAGAACAGCAACGGTTGTGGATTTGAAGGTAAAGGCATAAAATGTGAGCTGGAAGAGTAATGGATGTCCACGGACCGCTACAGCTGTAGATATCTCAGAGTTTGTTATTTCATCATTTTATTTATGTTTTGCACTAGGTTCACCACACCTAGCGCAGAAACATGTAGGAAAGGGTGACAGTCAGAAGTCAATACATTAAGTGCTGTAACACATCATTTTCACTATGGTGATCCTTAAAGGAGATATCCAAAGACTTTGCTAAAACCCCCAAAATTTCTTTCCTCTATTTTGAGAGAAGACTAGAGGAATAGCAACAGCACAGGGGGCCTCAGCTGCCCAGGATACGTTGGGAGGGGAGGCATAGTTATAGAATCACAGAATGCTTTGGGTTGGAAGGGACCTTGAGAGATCATCGAGCCCAACCCCCCTGCAGTAAGCAGGGATTGAACCTGTGAACTTGGCGTTATTAGCACCATGCTCTAACCAACTGAGCTAATTATGACACAGCTTCCCTCATCAGAACATGATGAAATTCAACCATGGCACCATGACCCAGGTGTTTTTTCCTGGGTCATTGTGCCAAATCCTCTGCAGGCCATCACACTGCATACCCCCGTCAGGAAGGGTGTTCATCTTTACAAAATATGCTGAAGGGCTGTTCCAGGGCTCCACTCTTGTGGCCAATTTATACCCATCTAGTCTTGTGCCAGTATTATCGTTTAGTTAAGTAGTTTCATCTCCCTCCCTGGTGTTTACCCCGCTGATGTATTTATAGCAAGCAATTACATCACCTTTCAGCCTCCACCGTACTAGGTTAGATAAGCCAAAGTCTTTTGCCATCTCTTAGGAGACAGATCTGCCATTCCTTGAATCACCCTAGCAGCCCTCCTCGTCACGTTTTCCAATCTGATCCTCCTTAGAAGACCACAGGGACTAGGTAGCCATTTCAGTTCTGCTGCTATTCCTTGCTCTGGTAGGCAGTGCTCCTCTTCCTTCTCCCCTTAGACTTGCTATGATAGCCCACGTGGGCATGCAAGTGTGGGTTTCCTATTTAAGAGTGAGATCTTTGAAGAGTTGTCTTATTTTTAATGTGAGCAGTTTTAAGAATTACCACCAAGGGATGGAAATTATTTTCCCCTCATGTCATCCTTTTTTTGAGATGAGTACTAAGAATGGAAATGGGGATGTGTTGCCAGGGGCGGGGCAGGGGCGGGGGGTGGATTCTTGAGAGCAGATCAGTGGTAAATTATTTCTCATTTCCCTGAGATTATTGCACTGTCCTCATGTGCGAAAAAGGACTAAAGAATTTAGTGTTGGTGAGTGACTGACTAGTTTTGTTTTTAGCCAAGAAGTATGTGATCCCAACATAGGAGGTAATATCATAATGTGCCCTCAGTGTGATAAAGTATGTACCTACTGGAACCTCACCATCACTTGTGAATCTTCCAAGGTAACATTTACAGCTTGTAGACATGCTATTGAACTTTAGTTGCATTTTCTCTCATACTATGTATAAAACAATGTTGTTCTTCCACTAATGTCCTGCAGAATTGCTCGAACTGCAAATAGTTGTGCCTTTTGATACAGTGACTGAATTTTGAAGAAACAACAATAATTGCTCCACTTTGATCTAAGATGAAAAAAATTGGGTTTTTTTAATTTCACATAGCCCTCAAATATTTGATATGGGAATAACAGGGGGTTTTAATCAAAAAATAAACCCTTTGGTTTCATTTTGGAGGACTTCTTCATTTTGGGGGGAAAAAAAGAGAACCCATGTTCAATTACTAAAGTCTTGACTCAGTAGCTCTGAACCAATTTTGCTAAGGAAATGTTTAAAGCATGTTTTAACATTTCTAAATTCTGTCCCCTCTTTCCCCAAAGAAGTTATCTGGATACGTGCCTTGAATTTGACCCGTGTTGTCAAGGAGGAGAGGGGTACATGGAGAAGCTGATGTGGGCCATGACAGAAGCTGTGACACAGCCATGTCCTGTTAGCCGTGACACAGCCAGTCTCTTGCTCTGGGTTCCTGACTAGAGGAACCTGTCTGTCTTCCTCCACTACTTTGTCTCAGTAGGCTAATGTTAGCCTTCTGTCATTCCTTTCCATAGATTCAGTCACTCCCAAAACTGCCATTTTTCAGCTATTCATCACAAATATTTTGCCCGGCTTTAATGTGTTGCTTCAGCACACTTAAAGGGTAAAAGAAACAAGACTACAGGGAAAAGGCTATGATGGAAAGAAAAGGCAAATTGTGACCACCGAGGTATCTCATCAGAATGTGTTTTTACTAAATAGCTTGATTTGTTGTCATCCTGCTCATGAGAACCAGATGTGTCCATTGCCTTTTTGTGGCTGTATTAAAAACACATAACTCTATACTGAGTTCCCAGACCAGAAGCACTGTTTTTCCTCTTCCTATGCAACAGATGGAAGGAAGTTTGATAGTACACCATTTTACTATCCCCTTGCTGCATACTTGGCGTATATTTTTAATTCTGGACTTTGCATTTAATTTCCTTAATTTACTGGAGGGTGGTGTACATTGACAGAAATTGAGGAAACAATAACAGTAAAGATTATTAAGCTACATAAAGCTAAAAATCAACATGTTCAGTAAGCAGCTTCTGTTCTGTGTCAGTGTAGAAGAAAAAAAATGGTCAATTGTATTTTAAGCCTTTTTTTTCTTTTGCATTTTCCCAGAAACTCTGTATATTTGACAGTTTTGGAACACTGGTGTTTGCAGTATTTATGGGAATATGGGGTAAGTCGATTTCAACAGCTGTGGTTTGTCATCTAATTTTGGCCAAGCCTCCAGCATCAACCAAGAAAACATGGATAAATTTGCAGTGACTTCATTTTATAGCACTCAGGAATTCACTAGCAGGTAGTTCCGTAAAAGACGCGTACATTCACAGGAACTCTTTTTTAGCACCATAAGAAAACAAAAAATTGTAGAACTTAAAGTTGGTCTTCAGTGTCTGGGTTTTTTCATTTGACATGGAGAAAAGTCCAAGAGAAGTGATTAGAGCTGCCTCATGTTCACCCAGCAGGAGCCAGACACATGCTTAAGTATATCGGGCAGGGGAGCTGGATTTTTTTCCAAAGAGTTTTGGAGCTCCCTGTGCCTATTAACAGCTGTGTGACCGCACAAGGCAATTGGAAAATAGCCATTTATTATATTTCCCAGGGTTTTTTTTTCCTCCTGTCTTTATTTAAGAAACTGATTATAAAAAGTGTAGTAGTTACAAGCACTAGATTTATCTTTTAGCAGAGAAAATGTATCTGAAACCAGGATGTTTCCCACGGGTGAAACCACTTGGTGCTGTATGCAAGGTATTAGGCAAGGTTTATTTTCCCAGAAATGGTTTCATTTGTTCATATTAGCAACTTTGTTAACCAGCTTTTATTGCACTGCCTTATCCAGAAATTACCAAACTAAGTTCAATGTTAGGTCTGTATGCAGGAAATAGAGAAAATAAGCCATGTAACGTTTTGAACTCATATGTAGGCTGACAAGAATACATAATTTGCTTTCTTCGTAAAACGTGTTGTATTTTTATTTTCCTATGATGACCTGAAGCGCTTCAAAATAGCTACTAATTTAAAGAAATGTAAGATGAAACATATAATTTCAAAAAGATTTCTTTCAAAGTATACACTAAAATCAAAATACCAGCAGGAAATTCTCAAAATAAAAGAAAATTAGAAGTTTGATACGAATGTAATCTTCTCCTGTCATCTGAATGTTAATTTATTTGCAATTTGCTTTTTAATTAAAATTGTGTTTTCTGTTTTGAAGAATGGTTCCAAGAGTAATAATTACAAAGTTAAGCCACATGGTTATAGTGACGGCTGCAAGGTCTATTAGTATTCTTGTCATAACTCCATTATATAAAGAGGTGAATTGTATTACAGAAATTCAGTCAAAATTGTACCGAATCCAAATGACCCATGGTCCTGGTGCAATTCCAGCTGTAATTTTCGTCTTGCTCTAATACTTTTGTAGACCTCCTGGTCCAAAACAATTAAACTAGTATTAGAATTTTAGATATATTATTGCATCATTATCATCCATACACTTTTAATAATTGCATTTTTTTTAATGTATTCCCTTCAAAGATCTTAAAGCACTATAAAACACCAGGGAATTTGGCCTCGGGAATTAGCCCTCTATACATTAATGCTCTAGACCAACACTTCTGCCACTTCTCCCATGATGGTATGACTAGATTTGCAAAGGTCATGAACAAGAGGCAACTTCCACTTCACTTGCTGCCATCACTGGATCCCCTCCCTGAACAAGATCAGTTAAACAAACAAATGTTCTCCAGTGGAGGCATTTCCTTTCAGTCCTTAGTGACACAGCTTCGGTGGCAGAATACCTGGGCCATACTGAGTAGCAGTGTTGAGGGACACGTGAAAGGGGACACCACAAATTACCAATGTGAGGTGGAATTAGCACTCGGATCTCCTGATTCTGAAACATCATTTGTTTCCACTGTTAAAAAAATGCTGGTTCCAAATAAAATGTCAAATCCAGCAGCAGTTCCTTTCTTGCTCTGGAAGATGCAACTTGGCTGCTGGCTTATTTTAGCTAGTAGAAATTTCCTTTGTATTGGGGCTGAAAGAGCTGCCCCCATGTTATGTGCTCTTCTTTCACTGTTAGCACAGAAGCTATCACAGAAGGAGGCCCTGCACTTCTGGAGTCCCCAGCAGCAGCTGGATTTGCAGCTGGAGCAAATCAGGATGGCCTGTATCTTCCCGTGACTTGGGCTGGGCAGCAGTTAGAGGTTTATGGAAGACTAATCTCCTTCTCTGCAGGAGAAGGCAGATGTGATCCTCTGGCCCACTGCTTGGAATAGCCTTTGTGGTTCTAAGCGTGAAGTAGCAAAGAAGTCCTTGTGAAAGAGGCCCCTGAATAATCAGGGGAAGAGGCTTTCCTGGGGTTTTGCCTGTGTGCGGATGCCAAGGTCATCTCACAGCCCAACCCAGGGAGTTTTCTGGTTTTTAAATGCTTCAGTTTGGGGTTTATTGACCACACCTGATTTTGGAAATAACCTTTAAAGTTTGGACTTGTAACTGCATGCCATTGATGTTCCATCATTCAGGATGAGGGGCCAAACTAATGAAAAAAAACCCACTTTTAGGGTTAATTACTCCCAGACAATGAGAGTAATGAGTAGTGCAGTGATGGGATACTAACTCCTCCCAGAGGCAGTGCTGCAGAGCCACACCACTCATTTAATCTGAGGATGCACGGTCCTCAGTAATAAATCATCTGGGTGTATTGGGGACCGTGGTACTGATACCCATCATCCTGAGCTCCTCCCAGCCTTCTCAGCTGGGTCTGTCATTGCCTCTGCTGCCAGATCTACCTGCATCATGTCTCAGGCCAAGGTAATGAGTTTGTCTGGATTCGTGTCTAGCCAGTACACTCAGGCGTGTACGTGGTCCCCCAGTGCTTCCAGTTGTAGGAGCACAGTCCAGGGAAACTGCTGACCCAGCCCAAAGGGTTTCTAAGCTCCGTGCCTTGCAAAAAGAGCTGCAGCCCCTTCAGATTCCTGCTAGCAGAGGAGGAAAGATAGCTGTGTTTCAACCACTTTACCTGAACCATCATTGGTTCTTGTAGTTTGCAAACTGATAATTTCTCCACACAAAAATTGCAGACTGAATGAACATGAGCTTTTCCATGGGGCAATTTTTGGCATACCATGTTCTTGTGTTCCAGAAGTCCTGCACTCTCCAACATTTTTGTCTTCACCTATCCAACCAACTTGCTTTCTTACGCATCCCATGATAAAATTTTTCAAAAGCAGGCTATAACATGAAATCCAAAGTGCTCATATTCTAGCCTTAGGAAGAAAGCAAATAAATTCATCTTTATTCTTTAGCATATGCTTACAACACTATTTACCCCAGGTTTCTCTTATTAAAGTACCTATATATCCAAAGCAATAATTGCACAAAGTAGATCCAGTTATTTTCACCATCACATTAGCCAATAAGGGTTTTGTTCCATGTCTGTGGAAATCTGTATGGAAAACTGAGCCACATGTTATAGCCCAGGGGGTCAAGCAGTGTCCAGCGCTGACATGGTGTTGCTTACTTTGTTTATCTTCTGGATAGTTACTTTGTTTTTGGAGTTTTGGAAGCGTCGGCAGGCTGAACTGGAGTATGAATGGGACACAGTTGAGTACTTAGACCAAGAAGAACAAGTTCGCCCAGAATATGAAGCTCAGTGCACTCATGTAGTAATGAATGAAATCACACAGGTAAGGAGTATTTTGATAACTGGTGATGGCTACTGCAATAGACATGTTGCGAGAGGACACTATGAAAATGGTGAATCTAGACTTGAGCAGCATAAATCAGCAGTGCTTCAAGGAGAGTTGATAAACTGGCCTGGAAATAGTGAACTTATAAAGTACAGATGTGTGGGAGGGAATTTATACTTAACTGTAGGCACCTTAAAGTAGTTGCTTGTTTGAGGATCTTGGACTGCTGAGGTTCCTGTGTCATAAATAAACAGAAGCAGGCATCGTCCCCAGCTTAGGAGACTAAGTCTATTTTATTAAATCCCTCAAGAAATGATTCAGTGTTGCTGCCAGAGGCCAAGATCACAGACCATTTACTATCTTTACCTAAGAATGCATCAAGAAAAAAGGGTGAAACAGAGGGAAAGATGTTACATTATATATCATGCCAAGACTGGTTTTTTAACCAAAGACGTTTCTGTTTGAAACATGTATAAATAGGTATTGTTGCTAAGTGCATGTGGATGCAATTACAATTAATAACAGCTAACACAGGGACAAGGGTAATCCTCATTTCAATGAAATAGGATTCATATTTATGAGGATCTTAGTTTAGATCTCTATTTATTATACAATTTGAGTAGCTTTAGCTTCTGTAGCTCACTCCAGCTCAGCTTCACTTTTTACTATTCTCTGTCAATATATTACTCTGACTTTTATCTGATCATTTGCATTGCTTTCACATTCCATCCACATTATACTAATGTTTATTAGAGGGCACTTGAAAAGTTTCAAAATTAACTGCCATAGTTGGAACTATCCTATATAGACCTTCTTTTTGTATCTCGTACTACACAAAACCTGGTTCTTTTTAAAAGCTTATAAACCTATGCCACCTTTAATGTATAAAGTCATAGCAAGAAAGTTCCTTTCAGACAGGCCAAAGAGCGAAGAGTATGCTAAAACATAATGATTTTGATCCTCAGAGATCCTAGAAAGACTCAGTGAATTTTCACACCACCACACTGAGGTAGGCATTTTCTTTGGGGAAGCCATCCCATTGTTCCTATGTGATAAATTGAGAAATACAGAGATCAAGGACCAAAATTTTAGTGCCTGCTAACTTTAGCCAATGAGGTTTGAAAGCTAATGGCCTTGGATGCCATGATCAGCCAAGAAGGATGGGCCCATTGAAAAGGACTGTGCACCCTGTCATAGCTGAAGTCAGTAAGAGCTGAGGACACTCAGCCTCTATGGAAGTAATTTTTATGTTACAATGGGCAGCAAAGAAAAAGACACATGTAATCAGGCAAGACTTTTGAAATCATGAATAAATGTGCGTTTCCAGGACCGCAAAGCAGGAAAGGAAACAAAACCAGAGACTTCTGTTCTTTTTTCTGCCCTCAATATCATAAAGGGTTTAATTGCAGCACCCAAAAAATAGGAAGAAAAGATTGGGTGCATCCTTGATCTGTTTCTAAATCTTTTACAGCAAGAAGAATATGTGCCATACACTGCCTGTGGGAGGTGCATAAGGATGACTTTATGTACAAGTGCAGTCTTCTTCTGGGTAAAGTTCTCTTATTCTTTCACCTCATGAATTCACTTCTCTAGTAAGTGTCTAAAAAAAGATCCTCTTGAACTGAACAAAAGGTAACAAAGGAACAAGTTCAGTTGGATTTCCATCTGATGCATAAGCCAAGCCCATAAGGTATGGACCCACAAGGAAAAGATAACTGTAGTCACTGAATACTCATTAGCGTACAGTCAATAGAAAATATGTCAAAATATCCTGCTGGTGTAGCTTGTGAGTTATGCTTGTAGATGTGGTCCATTGGTTTTTCCCTCATTATTTTAAGACAAATGTCTTTGCTTTTGCAGGGGGAGCAGGGGAAAGACTTTGGTTTGTATACTCTCCTCCCTGCCAGTTTCTGTCCTACTTGTTCCAGCCGTTTGCTTCAATATCGTGTCTCACAGTCCTGGGCTTCTTTCAGGGTTTTCGTTTCACTTAACAGAGCAAAGCTGGGTGTTCTCTAATCTTCCAGAGCTGCTGCTTCAATTATAACTAAAACTTGAAAGCAGTCCAGTCACCCATGAAACAATATCTAACATGGTGAGCATGCCCAGAGAGGTCACCCTGAAAAGCTCAGTGTTTTAGCATGCTGCATGTCCTCCTCGCCTGTAGCACAAACAGCTGGAAAAGACCTCATCCTAGGTGGCAGGAGACAGATAGGAGATAGAGTGGTGGCTGGTAGCCCAGGAGGTCCTCCATGTTAACACATCTGAAACACAAAGGAAAGAATACTGGCTTGCTGATGGATTTAAATAGGCAGGACTTCAGGTTGAAGGGAAGAGATTTGGTCTGGGTTTGTCATTTGTGTTACTGCACTCTCTTATTATGTGCAGGGAGGGGGTAGGTAGTGAAAAAAAAGACGCACAGCTCTACGGACCTCAATCTGAATAATAGCTAGAGAACTAAAAGCAGGAGGAGAAGCAGAAAGAGAGGAGATGGCAAGCAAGATGGGGTGCATGGATCATTATTACAAATCCTGCAGATTACAGGACTTGGCTTAAAATTTGTCTATTCCTTTTGAGGAGTCTGTAGTCTGTAATATTATCATGTGAAAGAGAAGGTACAGCCCCCTCCATAATTAATGCAGACTTGCTAGTACATTTGCCATCCTGCCAACTGACCAATGTCAAAAGAGGGAGATTTCTTCCATCACATGCCTCGAGGCATAAGATTTGATTGCACATCTCATTATCTTCGCTTGCATCAGTACAAACTTTGTTATTAGTCATAAACTAGACCATCTCTTTTCTTTCCTGCAGATTGACTATGCTGCACCAAAAAAAGGCTTCTTTTATGTATTCTAAATTTATTGCCTTTTATCTTATTTGAGCATCCTCTTGCACTCAGCTTATGCGATGGAATGACAGGCACAGAATCGGTTTCCTTTTGCCTATTGTAAAAAGTATTTCAAACTCACTTTTTCCCAAAGCCAGTGGTTCAATATTAACATCTTTCTTGTGTTCCCTTGGCAGATTCTTTTGATTATTGCTTCAGTGATTGGAATCATTGTCTACAGGCTCTCGGTTTTCCTGGTGTTTTCTTCAACGCTGTCACAGCACGTTAACGGAACGGAGGCAATCCGCAAGTACCTGACTCCGCAGACAGCCACTTCAGTAACTGCTTCACTCATCAGCTTTATCATCATTATGGTTCTCAATGTCATCTATGAAAAAGTGGCAATCCTGATTACTGACTTTGGTATGCTGCTGCTGTACCTCAGATAGAAATTTGGGGTAAACCGCAAGGAAAAATAGCATTTATATGTATAATAAGAACTCCAATAAATGAACACCTGTACCACATATTTCAGAATTTTCCCACCAAATCATACAATACCATCTAGAAATTTTCAAATACAGATCTTCTCAATATCAAAGGAATATAATATTCAGCTCTTTGCCTGAAAACTCCTTGTATAGCCAGCATGAAAGATCAATTGTTTACAGTTTTGTGCTTGTGAAACAGACAAAGCAAATAAAATTACTATAATAACCAAGCTTTATGAAAACAGATCAGTAACGCATAACACATTCAATTACATTAGCTTTTGTTTATGGGGAGAATAGCTATTTTCTTGTAAATAAATGAAATAAGGTCACTGTTCCAAAGCTAGATACCATTCCGATGTTATTAAATAGATAAACAGTTACAAATATTATTATTCTTTATATCCAGGCTATCAACATTAAAGTAGCTATTTTACTTTCGATGTGTGAAGTAGTGCGGTGTTTTAATATAGTTTCATTTAATACTGTTTCATCAGTTCAAAGTGTTACATTTGCATCTTTCCTGAGTGTGCTGTATTTGGGTGCTTTTTTTTCCCGAGTTATCGGAATTTGTGCTTATTCTTTTTCTTTATTGTCAAGGAACAGGTTCTTTCCTTTTTACAACACATACAGTTTTAGAATTAGCATAAAGGTTACAGTGTATACATGGGGATTATGTACGTTCTAATTCATAATGTTCTCAGTCATACTAAGGAATACAAGGCATACACGTACTTCTCCAGCTGAGGCTCTAAAGCAGCCTGTAGGTTACTTGTAGGTTGGCTTTTTTTTCATTTTTTTTTCTTTAATTGCAGAGCTTCCGAGGACACAGACCGATTATGAAAACAGTCTGACCACAAAGATGTTCTTGTTCCAATTTGTCAACTACTATTCTTCATGCTTCTACATAGCCTTCTTTAAGGGTAAATTCGTAGGTCACCCTGGAAATCCAGTTTATTGGCTAGGAAAGTATCGCAATGAAGAGGTAAGAATGTATGATAGCGTTTGTTTTTAAACAGCACGAGCCATTGGTCCAGGTATTCTGCTGCAGTTAGGAGTGTATAACGTATTTAACATGAGGGTTCAAAAAGTGACTGCCTCCCAAGCCAATTGCCTCCTTAGTAATCCCTAGCATAAATGAATATGACACGAGACCAGTTGGGCTGAGAAATGTATTATATGTACCCAGACAAGCTTATTTTCCAATGGCCAAACAACCTGTGAATCAGCACAGAGGGGAAAGGGAGAACATCAGTAGAAGCATTCCTGTTCTGCTGGGTGACCCTTGCCCGGTGACAGCAGAGTACAAAGGTGCATGAATTCACCTGGTATTTCAGTCTTTCACTAGTGTCCTGTCAACCTACCACATATGACCATATGTGGCCTGGAATTGGCTTTTGCATACATTACAGGAAAGGTTTGCCTAAACAGTCTTCTTGCTTTGCTTTAAGAAATGTTATCATAATAAAACAGGAATGCATTATTTTAAATGCTTTATTCAAGCCTGAAAAGTTACCCAACTTGAAAAATTGTTCATGTCTCTCCCAATATTCAGTGTGATCCAGGTGGGTGTCTCCTTGAACTCACAACTCAGCTTGCCATCATAGTAGGAGGTAAAGCAATCTGGAACAACATTCAGGAAGTGCTCCTTCCGTAAGTTCGAACGATTAAGTAATCTGCTCTTTCATATTTGGAAGATTCTGCTTTTTCTTGATGCGTTCAGGCATTTGGTCACTAAATTTGATAGGCGCATATTGTATTCTAAAAGAATAAGACTAGTCTTTTGGGGCCTTTTTAGACAGTTTGGATATTTTCGGTCTGGTAGTTCTGAGCTCCTGTCTCCGTCATTCTGACTGATTTTAGTTCTAATCAGAAATGCTTCCTTTGCAAATCAGACTGAATATGTTTCAGGTTGGATACTTAAAACTGAGGTAGCAGAAGCTCTGAAAATATTAAACTAAATACTGTTGCTTAATATTGAGTGGAATGATTTGTTGTTATACATTGGGCTTTTAAAAATCATGCCTAAGTTACTAATTCAGCTCATTTAGTTTTACAGTCATATTTGACATTCATTGTGCCTATACATTCTCTTTCAGTGGGGCAGATCTCTGGAAGGTCATGTTTTAATGTAAACAATAAGCAAAGTGCTAACCACAAATGCCCTCCATTTAATTTAGGTTAAGATACCATCCAGGACTCTGTGCTCCTTCTCCCAGGACTTGTTCTTTATTTTATACTGATCTGTGGCTGTTACGTTGCTTGGAGTAGGGAACTCCCAGTTTGCTCACGCCCTCCTGAATGCCATAAGCACCAGCCCACGGCACTGTATTCCCTCTGGTTGTGGTTCTTCCAAGCCCATGAATTGTGCTCCTTTTCTGCACAGTGACCCCGCTTCCAAGCTTGTCGTAAATACTGTGTAGGGTTGAGGCTAGATTGCTCTGCTGAGATACGGTTCCTCCAGACCCCAATACTCCATATATGCTGCTGGTTACAGGATGGACCTGTAAGACCCATCCTTCTTTTCAACATCTTCTTTTACCTGGGGAAGTGTCCCTAGACTAAGCATGCCTGCAGGTGTCAGCTCCAGCCATAGAAATCTGACTCCCCCTTCTGTGTACAGGAAATACATTCACCTGACCAGAATTTTTAACTCACTTCCCAGGGTGACAAGTAATATTTAGGTGTTGAAATGCTGAGTATCACTTCTGGATCTGATTCTTAACTACTCTCTCATTGCAACTCTGCAAGTATTAAGAGAACCATTTTGGTTTTTTCTCTGTTGATAGACATTCGCCCACACCACCCTTTTTTTGAATATGGTTCTTTGACTGCTGAAAATGGCTACAGCCAGTTCATCAGTTTTCTTAAGTTCTCATGCAAGCCTTTCAGATGAGATCAGCCTCACCTCAATCCCTGGGAAGGTGAAGGAGCAGCTAATCCTGGAAACCATTTCCAGGCACATAAAGGACAAGAAAGTCATCAGGAGTAGTCAGCATGGATTCACTGTGGGGAAGTCATAGTTGACCAACCTACTAACCTTATGATGAAATGACTGGCTCTGTAGATGAGGGGAGAGCAGTGGATATTGTCCACCTGGACTTCAGGAAGGCTGTTGGCACTGTCTTCCATAAAAGCCTTGCAGAGAAGCTGTTGAAGTATGGACTGGATGAGCAGACAGTGAGGTGGACTGAAAACTTGCTGAATGGCCAGGCACAGAGGGTGGTGATCAGAGGCACAAAGTCTAGTTGGAGGCTAATTGGTAGCGGTGTACCCCAGGGGTCAGTACTGGGTCCTGTCCTGTTTAACGTCTTCATTAATGATCTGGATGAGGGGACAGAGTACACCCTCAGCAAGTCTGCTGATGACCCCAAACTGATAAGTCAGAGGGTTGTGCTACCACCCAGTGGGACCTTGACAGGCTGGAGAAATGGGCTGACAAGAACCACATGGAATTCAACAAGGGCAAGTGCAAAGTCCTGCACCTGGGGAAGAACAACCCCATGCACCAGTATATGCTGGGGGCCACCCAACTGGAAAGCAGGTTGGCAGAAAAGGGACTGGGGATCTTGGTGGATACCAAGTTCAACATGAGCCAGCAATGTGCCCTTGTGGCAAAGAACACTAATGGTATCCTCAGCTGCATTAGGAGGAGTGTTGCCAGCAGGTCGAGGGAGGGGATCCTTCCCCTCTGCTCAGCATTGGTGAGGCCACACCTGGAGTACTGTATCCAGTTCTGGGCCCCCCAGTACAAGAGAGATATGGACATGCTGAAGAAAGTCCAGCAAAGGGCCACAAGGATGATTAAGGGACTGGAGCACTTCACATATGAGGAGAGGCTGAGAGGGCTGGGACTCTTCAGCCTGGAGAAGAGAAGGTTCAGGGAGATCTCATCAATGTTTACAAATACCTGAAGGGCAAGAGTAAAGAAGAGGGAGCCAGACTAATCTCAGTGCCTAATGCCCAGTGACAGGACCAGAGGCAAGGGGCACAAACTGAAACACAGGAGGTTCCCTCTGAACATAAGAAAACACCTTTTTACTGTGAGGGTGACCAAGCACTGGCACGAGTTGCCCAGGCAGATTGTGGAGTCTCCATCCTTGGAGATATTGAAAAGCCATCTGGACACAGTCCTAGGCATCCGGCTCTAGGTGGCCTTGCCTGAGCAAGGAGGGGTTGGACCAAATGACCTCCAGAGGTGCCTTCCAACCTCAATCATTCTATGATTCTGTGAATTTTGTGATCAGAAGGAATTAATCTGTCTAACCACAGGCCTACATTTAATTTGATTTTTTTTGTTGCCTTGAATTTTATGTGGTCATTTACCTGTACAATGTAAGTATAAATCACTTTGATTCTGATACATTGCCCTTTTACACTCTTATTTATGGTTGTAAATCACTGCTTTCAGGGTAAGGCAACAGAAGATTATACTCATGTTTGAAGGAAGTTTTCAGTAATTCAAGAATAACTAAATCCACTGTTCAAAGCTATAACAGCACAAATGCCAATTTTTTCCATTTACTGAACTTTTTAGGTTATTTTACCAATGTTAGTGGTCTTTTTCTCCCTGGCTGATAGTTGGGTTAAGAATCTAATCGGAAGATACTGTGCAGCTGCTAGATCAGAAAAAGTTGTTCCACGCTGGGAACAGGACTACCACCTGCAGCCCATTGGAAAACTTGGACTGTTTTATGAGTATCTTGAAATGGGTAAGTGGCAGTTTAGTTCGGATTCACTATCACTGCTGGATGCAAACATGCTCTGAAGAAAATCTTCATACAAGCAATGCTTAATAAGTTTATAGACAGAGGAGACATGTTTTCCAAGACAAGTTTTGATGAGCCGTTATAGATAGTTTTGCAAGATTTTATTAAGTAGCTATGCCTCAATCCAATTTATAACCAGGAAACAGCATGTGATTGTACAAAGAGGAGAAGTGCTGCTTTGCCCCATCCTCTGAGAAATGCACCCAGAAGGCAGACCACTGCCGCGTTCTGGTGTTGTACAGCAGAGCCCTGTGTCAGCCTCCTCTGCCAGGGACCTGCAGTCACCAGTACTTGTCACTGGGCTCTTGGGAGCTGGCCGATCTCCGGTTTGTTGCCACCATCCATTCTGTCACAGCATTGCCAGAGTACTTGTGGCAGCACCCAGACACCAATAGCATGATTTTTAGTTCAGGCTTTCCAGCACAGCACTGAGACAGAGAGTCATTAGCTCTCCAAGTCTTCATGATGAAGACATAAGAAAGAAATGGATGTTTAAAATACCCTGAATAGTTCCTCTTGGTGTGTTGTGACTTGTAACATTTTCCTGTCCCTCCACCTAGCAGGCTTTTTCAGTACTGTTGTGCTCCTATCTTCTCATACGTAAGATTTCCTAGGTAATCCACCACTCTTTCTTGTCTCTCTCTCCCATGGTTGGAGTATATAAAGTATACATGCTCATATATGCTTATCTCCAGTAAGTGAAAGCCCCATCAATGTATGTAACCTCTCCCTTTGACAGTTATACAGTTTGGCTTTGTCACTCTGTTTGTGGCCTCATTCCCCCTGGCTCCTCTTCTGGCTCTTGTTAACAACATGTTGGAAATCCGGTTGGATGCGTGGAAGCTGACGACCCAGTTCAGGCGCATGGTTCCACAGAAGGCACAAGCCATCGGCGCCTGGCAGCCCATCATGCAAGGCATAGCCATTCTGGCGGTGGTCACCAATGTAAGTACTGGGCCAACAACCGCAAAAGGTAAAATGCCTTCACTGCAGGTGTTACATCCAGACGTGGGAATGCCACGTGTGGCAATGTAGGACTTAAATGATGCTAAAAGAATTACGAGCATCAGTTACCTAAGACTTTAGCCCCTATGAAATAGGCGCTCAGTTACTTTCCAGATGTTTTGGAAACAGAATATGGCTACTGTCTAAAATATTATATATAAAGAAAAGAAATTTTATTTAGAGTTGCTAGAGTCTTCAGAAAAATCTGTTACATATGAAGACTATAGTGCATCTTTCCTAAAATCATAGCATGTAGTACAGAGATCTTTTCAGATAGTCTACAGCATGAATTTTGAAAAAATTAGGTTACAGCTTAGCTAAGTTATAATTGATTGTTGCTTCTAATTGTTACAATTCTTACAGTCATGCCTTCATATTTGAATTTGGCTTTAAGCAATTCTGCACTTTAAACAGAAATTCAGCTTCTTTCTTGTGTATTTAAAAATACAATGTGTGCTCAAAATTGCAGCACTTACCTTTTGAGATCAGAATGAATTTTCTGAGAATTTGCAAATTAATCTGTTTTTCAGTTGGATTTATAATTAATTTTAGAAGAGTTTCTTTAAAATATTTAGGATTATGCTTAATATACTCCTAACAATGAAATTCAGACCTTCAAATTTCCTGTATTGTTAATTCACCAGGATCTTATACATAGGCTGCACTGTGGGGAGAAAAATAATCCATTGGACTTTACCACTGAATTATTTGATTGCTTATTCTTAAACAGTACCTAATATGTATTATCTTCCAAAAAATGCCCACTGCTGGCCTTTCTCAAAAGAGCAGTGATCACTGGTTTCCTCTGCAGGGACAGTAACACCACAGACTGTCCATGGTTAATAGCCTTTTTCAACAAGGTCACCATTTTCTGCTGTTATCGGTGAGATCAGGGATTCCTTCTGACACACTTAAAGGTAGTCACTTCCCCCAGGACCTCATCCTTGCAGTAACAGTACCTCATTGCGCTCAGTAGGAGTTTCTGGAGAAAGCAGTTGAGTCTGAAGACAAGACTTCATCTTAGCCCAAGCTTTCACAGGAGGCTCTGCCTGTTTGGAGAATGGTGGACTTTGGGTAAGAGGAGGGAGACACTGCTGAGCACTCTACCATAGGTACTAACCCTATAGTTAGGGGACTTATTTAAAGTAAAAGAGCAATTCAAATTTAAATAAGGGCATGAACTTATTTTCCTGTGTCTCAGGCACCTTTTATAGTCATTAGGTGCTTGGCTGGTCTGGGGTCTCGACCCCAGGGGTTCTGCTTTCCAGAAATAATGGGGAAGGTACACGCACCTTCTCTTCCCACACCCAGATGAGTGTCCCTGCATATTGCTCTCTCTTTTTAGCCCCACTTTTAAAACTCTTTGTTTTGTCCCTGGAAAGATGAGGCTATTTTTGAAGAATGGGAAGATGAGCTTCCATGACCTGGCTGCCTATTGGGTTATCCTCTTCTCAGTAGCTTGTTTTCATTATTTTGGGGGTTGGGGGTGATACCATATAAAAATAGGAGTCCGGGGTGGATTTCAGTGATTAGGAAAATTTTATATGTGAGCCTCAGCTCCAGATGTATTTTCAGATATTTGAAGGTCTCTCAAAATGGCCATTATTCTTTTTCAGAACTTTATTTCACACTATAGCAATTCAACAGGTATGGTAAACATAGCTAGGATGTAGAGAGGAGACTCAGGAGGACGTAAAGGCAGAGAATTAAGCACAGAGAAATGTCAGAAGAAAAAAGGGAACTAGAAGACGGAAAATTTGCAAGAAAATCTGGGAGACAGACAACAAGCTAGAGCATATGCTCCAGCTGTTTCGCACTGCTCTGCTGAGGCAAGCCAAACATATATCCAGTTGTTCCACAGGCATGTGAAACATCCAAGGCCTACTAGTAGATCTGGTGTTAAAATTTAAAACAAAAATGATACAACTGTGGTAACACATGCTCAGACTGTTAGAAATGTCATGTGGCACCAGAGATACTTTGGGGCTCTTTTGTTTTAGTGCCTGTGTAAAAAAAATGTTAATGATAACTCTTCCAGCAAATTATGGAGGTAGTGCAAATTCCCAGATGAAGCATAGCTATAGTAAAGTAGAGGTAACATTATTGGTGCATCAATATCCTTTTCTGAACTATGCTGCTACAAAACAAAAAGGCAAATAAGTTTCTGGTGCCCTGGAAGTAAAACAAATACGTTATGCTATTAGATGAGCTAACTGTCCTGCCTAGTTAATCCTGATGGGTCTGGTAATACTACTATGAAATAAAAAGTTGGATATACATCTTAAGATTACTTTAAAATACTGTTACGAGTACCTTAGTCATAGTCCTTATGGTATTCAGGGCAGAGTTAAAGTGACTTTGGTGACCTTACGGTGACTAAGACATGTGTAGGCTTCTGTTAGGAATATTTTCATGCCCTGCTCTAGATACTGCAGAAAAATGACCCAGCAATAGTTTTAGGTGTCTATCGCTACCCATCCACAACCCACCTTAGGCTAACTGGAGCTTTGCAACCTTTTTTCACTCCAGATTCCTCTTTATGTGCTATACTCCTCAAGGCATTGCTGAAAACATGAGTCCTGGATGTGCAAAAGTATATTGACAGCTTGGTTGTACTCTCTGTCCTCCTTGACAGGCACTCAATCCCAGTGCTCTTGTGACTGTTAACTGCAGGCATGTTTCTTTTAGAGTCACCCTATCTGGAAGTCTCAGGCATCAGACAGAGTTAATGTCCGTGTGAATGCAGTGCATTTGCCACTGACATCAGTGGGGCTATTTGCATGCGAGGGGCACAACTCCCGAGACTGTCATGCTCAAAAGGCCCTGCTGCAGGTGTTGTAAGGACATCAAAGAGATCAGTGATTCTTGCTAATGAAGTATGGGCTATAAAGCCATATACTAGGTCAAATGCTAGAAGCTGTTTTCTTCCTTTAAGTATGTTTTTTTCTTGTTTGGCATCCAGGATCTAGTATAGGCCATCAGTCTTTCCTTTACCATCCCTTCCTTGATTTTTCCTTAGTACACAGAAACTGTTTCTTCTCTTCTGTCTGACTGATTAGCCTTGGGTAGTGTATCATCTTCTCCTTCATGCATTACCTTCGGAACACCTACTAGTAGCTTGCAAGCAACTTTTGCCCAAAACTATCAGTTTTGCAACTTGCTGCTCAGGCACTGGACTTGCTGTTGCATGATACCAAAGCATCTGCTGTTGATTTGAAGACTGATTTTAATTAGTTATGGTATAAATGGAAAACTGTGTGTAGTGAAGCTTGGGAAGTAGAGAATGCGCTATTTGTTTGTAGTTCTCCAATGCAATACTCTGAAATGCAGCCCATAATTCAGGAGGAAGAAGTTTTTCCTTTGAGAGGATGCCGTAGGATTAGCTTTCGTGTTTCTGTCCTTGCAGCTCTCTGGAGCACATCTGGAGATCATTCTGAGAGAAGGAGGAGAGTGGGACAGAGTTCAGATTTAGGATGATGAGAGACCTGGGGTCTTGCAAAAAAAAATCAGTGAGAGCAAATATTAAGTTGTGTAAATACCATATTCCAGCATCTTTCTAAATGATACACAGAAGCAGCATCAAGCTCATTTGGTCCAAAGGGAGAAGGGATTTTTTTGCCTTACTGTTCAGTTGCTATTAGTTCATTCATGGTCTGACTGGATGACCTAATGAACAGAAAGAAATTATATTTAACTAAAATTTTCTGTGCTTGTACTTCAGTTAAAAACAGAGTAATGTAGGTGTGAGGTTGTCCCCTGCAACTGCAAGACACAGTAATATATATTTCTTGTCAGCCAAAAACACCTACTCTGCGTGTAAATATAAACAACACATAATTTTCACTTCATTGCACACTGGCATGTAATACTTAAAAACAGTTTTCAAAAGTGTATGCCAACTACATTTGATTTAAGCCAGAGTACAGTACCAAAAAAAAAATCTTATCCTGAAAATTTTAAGCAAGTTTATTTTAGTCTTAGGGTGCCTCCCTTTTCTTTCTCATCAACCAAATTAACTTTCTCTCAATTGAACTCAATTGTAACAATATTCTGGAGAACCAAATGTAGATTTTGGACCACAGTCTCAATCCTAAGTCTTGTTTCTGCAACTTTGTCTTAACTAGAGTTTAGCTTCTGGGGTACCTCAAAGTAAGCCAACTGAGAAGGTAAGACATTAGGATAGTGTTCAACATTTGGCAGTGGTGCTACTTGAGGTGGGGTGGGTCTCGCACCCTTTTCAGCTCCTTGCCCTTTCCCTTCCCTGTCTTTTTCCCCTTGTTGCCATCTCTTGTGTTGTGCTGGCACCAGCACTTTGACAAACATATGATGAACCACATCAGGGAGTGGATCCGGCTGGGATTCTCTGCCAGATCAGTGCCACCATGATCTGATCTGCTGCACAGCTGCGTGAACACGAGTGACTGCTAGGGGCAGAGGCAGGAGGGACGGTGGTTGTTTTGGCTAGCACTGCCACCAAAATGTTGTTTGGGGAACTGTAGAAGAATTGTCTGCATTTTTTTCTACTTTTCTTCTCTCTCCCCTTCCCTTTTTTCCAACTGTTAAAAATACCTCCTCAGGCTGGGGCTGTCTTGCTGGGAATGCTGCACAAAGGTGGACAATTTTTGCCCCATGTCATGAAAATAAGGAAATACAGACTGCATGAATCACAGACTGGCATGAAGAGGAATAAAATACAGATATTGTCCAGCTCTCATGCTCCTCTGTTACCCGTTACTGCTTAGCTTTGCCCCTTCCTCTGTCTCACTCCTTTCCTATGGCTTTTTTCTTCCCTTTTTATGCATCTCTGCCTAAACCTCCCTCCTCCTGATCCCATTAGATCCCTACTTAACACCTTTCTCCTCCATGTCTCTGCCCTGGTTCTCTCCATCCATGTTGTCAAGTGGTTTTTTTTCCCCTGCCATGGGACAAAAGACATCTTTTTCAGCCCTGGAGCGCAGCTCGACGCTCCTTCCTAGGTGCTGGGCACCAGAGACGCCTGTCGTCATGAGCTGGCACTCAGCTGCAGATCTTGCCAGTGGAAAGTCTTCCTCACAGGGAAACCTTTTGAATTTGGAATAGCAGAGGAGGAGATTGGATTAAACATAGTTAACCTGTCCTCCAGAATAGGATGTTTTGGGAAGTTCACGAGTTTAGAAAAGACTTCCCACAACAAACCCACGGATCCAATTTCCTACCCAGTTTGTGACTAGCAGACTGAGTAGGACAGGGACTCTCTTGGGAGCAAGATAAAAACAAATGGTCACGTCATATGTAAAACAGCACTATGCAGCTGCTACTAAAAAAATTATCTTGGCATCAGGAGCAGTTTCCACATGTACTGACACTGAAACTTATGAGGCAACAACTGCCAAGATGAATTTGGGCTGGCTAGCACCTCAGAAAGAGTGGGATGTTTCTAGGGTCAGAGATGGATCAGCTATATATATAATTTATTTAATTCTTTTACTCAAAACTCAGGCTTCTTGGTGAAATTTAATTTTCTGTTATTGAAGGACTCTTCCATTGTTTCCATGAGTTTCATCAGGCAGGATTTCTTTAAGCATCTGATAAGTACATCTGATAGCAAGCACATTTGCTGAAGGTTACCTTACAGTACTTTAAGGTGAGTTTGGCTGCTGACCTGCACTGCATGCTCATGAGGAAAAAAGTGTGTTATACTATAACTTTTTTAAGGCATCCAGCAGGCCTAGCATACTTTAAAAACCGTACAGACTGCACATTCCAGAAAGAGATTGTTTTATGCCATGAGTGACTATGTGCTCATTTACAGAGGGAACCACTGACTGGAAAAGCACACATTTTCTATTTTTAGCTCGTACTGTAACTTTGGAGATACTAAGTACATGGCAAAACCATACATATTAAGGCTTATTTCTTAAACGCTACTCTGGTTTTTTGTCTTCTTTTTCTGAAATGCAGGCTATGATAATTGCTTTTACATCTGACATGATTCCTCGTCTGGTTTATTACTGGTCCTTTTCGGTCCCTCCTTATGGGAGTCACAGCAGTCACACTATGAAAGGGTATATAAACAGTACGCTTTCTGTCTTCAATATATCAGACTTCAAGAATGCAAGCAAGCCATTTTCCCCTTGGTTTGGGAACCAAACAACATGCAGGCAAGTGTCAAATAACCATTCTTTTCCAATGATAAGAATAAATATATTTTTTTAATATCTAAATCATCTAATTTAGTTAACAATATCCAGTAAGAAATGTTAAAACACAGTAAAAGCCAGCATATTTTGAATGGCAGAACTGAGTAGAAGTAGTCACCCATAAGTTTGTGCTACTCAGAAAACTCTTACTTTATTTTGTTTTTCTCATAATTGATAGTCTTCAGAAAAAAGCACGTTAAATTTTTATAAGTAATTCTTAATACAATGGAAAAAAACCCCAATATTTCAGCCAAATACGGCTTATTCTGCAGGTACGAAGTTTACCCATTACTGTAGTTACGTGCAGCTAACTGTTCCTGGACGCAGTAAGCAGGGACATGTCTTGCTCCATCCTCTGGCCACAGTGCCTTACTGCAGAGATGCCTGAATCTAGTTCCTGACTTTCCTACATTGCTTTCAGATACCGGGATCTCCGCTACCCTCCTGGTCATGAGCACCAATATGAGCATAACATATACTACTGGCATGTCATTGCAGCCAAGCTGGCTTTCATCATTGTCATGGAGGTAAGTATATGGGGTTTTGAGCATTATTTATTTAAATTTCTCTTACCTCCATGCAGAAGATCCTTCAAAGATGTTCTGACCAGGCACAGCTATCAGAGCTGGCAATGTCTGCTAGCATGGACAAGAGCTTGGGAGATGTAAATAAAGTGTAGCACCATTAGAAAAAGAAGTCTCTGAAGTCACAACATCAGTGAAGGATTGCCCCACATGTTTGCAGTTTCTTTTGCAAGGACCTTTAAAATGATTTTTAGTATCAGAAATAGAAGGGACAGTTACACCAAAAATATTTTTACATGTGCTTAGAGGAAGTTTGCACACAGCCTTATGAATACATATACATAATACATGGGCACTAGCAGAGTGAAGTGTATAAAGACAGTCACTACAAGAAGTGAGTCTCTAGATGAGCATCAAAAAGCAATTGCTCCTTCCTCTGCAGCTACAGTCTGGGCTTATGAAAGATGGGAGTTGGTCCAAGATGAAGGGTGAGGAATATTAGGTATTATTTCATTATAAAATGTACTCAGGGCCAGATCCAGGGACTAATGAATTCATCAGAAACACACAACTGGTTAGATCAGAGTTCCCATAGCAGAGAAAAGTCCACGGCCCCAGAGTAATTTGAACAAACCTAAAAAAAATTTAAAAGAAACTGTAACCAATATTTCCATGCAGGGGGAGAATCACTGGGTACTAGGGTTCCCCCAAAGCAGGCAGAGAAGTCCTTGTTAAAATCAGGATTAGAAAATCAGAAATTCTTGTTTATCAGACAGTTATTCTATCCATTAGTCATGTCCACTTTTTAAAATACTGTTCCACTGTGATAGATACTGGTACAGAACCAGCTCAGATTCTTAAGAGATAATGTGACATTTCATTTATAATGATAATAATGTCCTGTTCAGCCTGACTGACATTTTTTCATTTTCACCTTCCCCAGCATGTCATATACTTTGTGAAGTTTTTTATTTCATACGTAATTCCGGATGTATCACAAAAGACCAAGAGCAAGGTCAAACGGGAGAGGTACCTAACGCAGAAACTCTTGCATGAGAACGATCTCAAAATTGTGAAGAAAACCATGGGGAAAATAGCGGAAAAAATTATCAAAGGAGTAGACAGCACCTTCTGACCTAAAGCTGGATAAGTACTTTTTTATATGGAATAACAGTGTTTAGGCAACTAATACTTGTCCAGATATTACCAATAACTAAACAAACACTTTGGATTAATTCCCTTTACTAAACATTGTTTCTTGCAACTGTTACCTGCTTATTTACCTCTTTTCCCTTGGACAAATGCAACCACTGCCACTCAGATAAGAGTTATCAATTTTTTGAACAGCTTTAGTAGGATATTTTTTTAACATGTGAAGATAAAAATTATTTATCATCTTAAGATGATGCAGATCAATTCTCAAATGCATAGAGTGATTTCCACTTTATTTAGGCATCTGCTATTAGATCTCGTTTGACTTGAATGAAACCTTAAGAACAAGAATGATTTGTTGTAGGAATACCATCACGTCTTCTGAAGGAGTTTTGATTACTTGCTAATGCAAACCCCAACTATAAAACGAAGAGGAAAAGCCAAAACATGAAGGAAAGAGAAGGAAAATACAACTCAAAATCATGTTGTTAAGCCATTGGAATTGACATACTAAGCGCTGTTGTGTGCTACACTGAATTAGCTATGCATACTGAGACTTAAATGGATAACAAGATATTTCAATTAATCATGGACTTGGATCACAAGAAGCAGCAGGACTGTAAGCCCATCCTGTTCATCAATCTCTGTGTAAACAGGAGAATTGCCTTTGAAATCAATGCATACAAACTGACTTTACAGCACTCCGAGTGAGTAGAAAACTCAGGCATTTTATCTTTCCCCAGTCAATGTACTTCCATTAGTTCCCTTGCCCATTCTGCTCTGAATGACCATAGCTATCCTTGAAGGTCTCCTGCCTGTAATAGTAATGAGTGTCACAAGTCTTTTCCCGTCCTAAATCGGTATTTGTGGAGGGCTGTCTTTTGCATTTCTCCCACACCAGAGGCACCGTGCTCTTCCCTGATAGATTTCGGCACAGGAAGAACGCGCAGCTGGACCTGTTGTGATACAACATTGCATGATAAAGTGAATTATGACAAGAGCATGAATCTATTGAAACTGGAGATCAGAATAAGCCATTTAATATGCCTTAACCATGTTATGAAGCTTTAAATAACTAGGAAGGATGTTAGAGGTGTGGATGCATGTGCTAGAGCCATCAGTCATCTTCAAATTAGGCTGTAGACCTGCTTGGCTATTTTGGCACAGATTAAGCATGTACGTAGAGCTCCGCTTTGTGTCTGCAGCAGTGATATTCCAGATTATTAACTTGCTTTCTCTTTTAACAGTTTTAGTGGACCGATTTCTACAAATTCTGAAAATGGAAATCTTGTTAAAAAAGCAAAAGTATGCCTGTACTCTGTAAACCAGATGATTACTGTTGCATTTGTAATTTTGTACTCTTCTTAAATGTAATAGACATGCAGGACTTTTAGGCAGATTATTCATATAGCTTTTTACATATTAAGAAGTTCATTTGCAGAAACTAAGTAGCATTTATAAGATTTACATTATCCCATTAATAATCAGAAGGAATCAAATGTCTGAATTTTGTAGCAAAACTTCCAAATACTGACTGCTGTGTACCTCAAGCCTATCCTTTGAAACAGCAACATTTAAACCAGAAGAGGTAGCACATGGGGGAAGTCCTTTCAGCAGTCATCATACACAAGCTTTCACGCAGCAAGACTTTGCATGATTGTATGGAAGAACGTGAGAGGAAAGCTTGGTTCAAAAATCAAAGAAAGATGAAAGAAACAAACTCACAGATTCCAGAGAACCACTTGCATTTCTGACACCAAAGGACTGAAGCTTACTTATTATAATGCCCAGAAAACTTGGCATAGACACCACCTGAAGACAAAAAAAGATGCAGGACAGAAAAACAAGATAGACCATAATGATAAATGACAGTTAACCAGAGCAGCGATGGAACCAGTGCTTGTCTGCACAGGGAATTCTACCCTTTGCCATTTGTTTTGGTTTCGTCAGAATCATGACAAGTCTTTAATTTACCAGGAAGCAAATATAAATTGGGCAGATGGACAAACACTCAGAAGTTTCTAAACAGGACAAAATTTCTTATCAAAATATATCCCCTCAATACTGGTTTGACCTTTTCCCCACATCACAGGATGGTTGGGGTTGGAGAGGACCTCTGGAGGTCATCTGGTCCAACACCTCTGCTCAAGCAGGGCCACCTAGAGCAGGCTGCCCAGGACCATGTCCTTTTCAATATCTCCAAGGATGGAGACTCCACAGCCTCCCCGGGCAACATGTGCCAGTGCTCGGTCACCCTCACAGGAAAAAAAAGAGTGTTTCCTGATGTTCAGAGGGAACCTCCTGTGTTTCAGTTTGTGCCCTTTGCCTCTGGTCCTGTTACTGCATAGTACACCAAACTTCTGTTTAAAACAAAGTTTTATCCAAAAAACTGCTTCACAGAACAATTTTAGTGAAGTACTCAGGACTTCCCTGTGCAAAATGAGTTTAGTTAGAAAGGCCAGTCAGCTCCTTGCAGACTTGGAGCTTTTGATTTTAGCTTTGAACTGGCTTTTCCCGGTCTGCAGTTGTGTTCAGCTGTGATGCCATTTTCATACCCCCATCAGTGTTGACAGTGCCAATGTGCCTTAAACACCCTTTCAGGTGCAGTGTCAGGGGGCTGGGGCAGGCAAGAAGGCATCCTGTGATAAAGGAAAAAAAAAAATGCAGCACAAAGTGGACCATTTCAAGCAATTATTTGGTCTTAAGGAAGCATTTATTGCCCTCTTTGAGAGGTAAAGACACTAGGAAACAAAGGAATTAAATGCCTTGCCTGGGGTCACACTGTAAGCAGTGGCAGAGCTTCAGGCTGTTTTTCAGGAGTGCCTAGTCTTCTGCTCCTTGTTTGGTCCCTCTGGCCTCCCTCAGGTGCCCCTTTTTACATCAGTTGGCAGCGTTTCCTGAAGGGGAGTTGGTCCTCAGTGTCCTCGAGAGTTTATATTCCCGCCTTTAAAATAAGGATTTAAAAAACCATGCTACATCAGCAAAGCGTGTATATCTGTGTCCTGGGCTCCTCCCATAATAAAATCCTAATCGGCTTTGGGTGTGTTCCTACATTACCATTTTTGTTCAGATCAAGAGTGTGCTTTTGAAACTAGTCTTCCACTTGTCCCCGCTTTCTGGGCGGCGCTTCCCATCACAGTCTGGCCTCAGGGCACATGGACTGGATTCTTCTTGATTTAAACTGAACCAGAAGGCAGGTTTTAGATATGCACTTAATGGTCTCTGACAGGCACTTAGTCCGGAGAGCTAAAACCAGAGCTAGGCTGAAAAGAGCAGTGAGTATGCATGGGCATCAGCTAGTCAACATCAACTTTTTGCTCTAGTGATTTGCTTCTGAAGCGCCATGCTCCTTGCTAATGAAGCTGTAGTGTTTCATTTCAGAAGACATTATATCAGGAATTCAGTTCAGTTCGCCATATGCACGATGTTATTCACAGCACAGTTCTGACTGAGAGAGAAAGAAGAGGAAAACCAACAGAGTGCCTAATAATTGTGTTTTAATAGTTGGATCTCCTAAGCTGTGCAATTTCTGTGGCCTCTACCTCCAACTGCTGAAATGTGCTCTGCTTGTACGCAGGCAGCTCTGCGCAGGCAGCAGAACAAAATGCTGGGGGGGCAGTTGCCAACGTATGAGTATTTGTAACTTACTTTCTTTTTTTAGGCTAGGTCACTTTAATAATATTTAAAGATCTGCTTGAAGGCAAAATTAACATTTGTTTTAAACTATGAATCGGTTTTACTCTTTTTTATACTTTGTATGTAGGCCAGACTCTTACTTCGTACAGATTTGTTGGAGTCAGGGTGAATGTGGACCAGTGACCATTTCATTGCCTTAACAAGCACCATAAGTCACAGACAGTCGCCACTGTTTTAGACTCTGTGTATGTTGATAAAATTCAGAATGTAAGAATGTATTTTTTGTGGTTTTTCTAAGAATGTTTGCTATTACTTTCTGAATATTAAGATTTCTTTATATTTATTGTCATTAAATAAAGTCTATTTTAAAATAACAGTACATCTGATGTTGCGTAGCATTGTTTGTTTTCCCATGAACAATACTGCTGCTGCCAAGTGCCACATTTAAATTCTTAGAATGTCATCCCTGTCTGATTTCCATATTCCTCCTCTTTTTCAATCTTTTCCCATTAAACTGTTACTACTACTGAAATTTATCTCCTGTTTTTTCTGCATCCTCTAGATGGAAGTCATTCCTTTCCACACCAAGTTGATGACAAGGACCATTATGTTCTCATACAAATAAACAGTTTAGGTCTTTATACTCTTTCACTCCTGTCGTGATAAACCCTGTGTTATGTTTCAGAGTCATCATTTATTTCTCCATCTGGATCAAGTCTGTGATGCTCCTACCACCGGGCAGTCCACTCTCTCTGTCTGTCCCTGCCATCCATCCATCTAGCCATCAGTTCTCTTCTGCTTCTGCTCTGACTTTTCCTCTCTACTTCAAGGAAATCCTTTTGTAAGACGTAGAGAACAGGAAGGTTAGGGAGTAATTTTAAACAGAGGCCTTCTTTGCATTAAGGTGTGTTGGTTATTTTTCCCCTTAGGGATTCCCAAGATCTGCTTTAAGTGTACCTTCATGATAGTTGTGGAAGCAGAGGTACCACCACTTCCAACCTGTTTTCTGCTGACTAAGGGTTATGTGTCATACAGATGCCAGTACCCAAGCTGGTCTGCCGCTCTTGCATCAGTTTGGCTTTGTCAGAGGGAGGGCAAGAGGAACTTCATGATGAAGCATAGTAAAGGTTATTTTCCTATAAGCAGAAGGATACAGTATCATCATCGGCTAAATCTGTATGAGGACAGTGTGTTTTTAAATTGACCGATACATTTAAAACCCTTAAAAGAGCAGGCTATAGTATTTTTCTACTTAATACACAAATAGCCAAAGTAGTATATTACTTCTGGTGTTGCCTGCTTAGTTTTAATTCTTTCTGTCACAGAGTGGATGAATTGCACTGATTT